GATGCGTTTTGTTTTATCTTATTTTAGTTAACAGCAAAACAATTTTCTTTGGGGGGGGGGAGGGGCTGGAGGTATAGCTCAGTTGATCCAGTACTTGCCCAGCAATGCCCCAGGTTCAAGAAGACTAGAAAGAAGTAACCCGAGAAGGCAGAAGGCTCTAACGTGAACACTATTCCAATCAACTATCACCAAATATAGTGCTCCAACTCTGGCAACAGCAGCAGAGACTGAATTAGTGTCCTACCGTATCCATGTTCAGCAGAACAGTTAAGATAAGACAGATCCCTCAAATCCTACAGTGTCACAGAAGCTACACAAGAGTGCCAGCTTGTGCTCACTCGGGAGTAACAAGCAGCCAAGCTTCCTCTGTCTAGGGGTGCTGTCAAGTTTCCTTGATGACGAATTAAGGCCTTAACCATCACTCAGTAGTAACAAGGACACAACCCCAATGGGGTCAGTGACAATGTGTGGAATAATAACAACACTCGCCTACCAGTTCCTGACCAAGTGTCAGGATATGGGGTTGGGCCTAAACTCCTACTCCCGCTCAAGAATAATACAACACATCCCCCGTTGAGGGTAGAATGGTAGCTTTAATTTCTCCCTGCACCTACCAGTAAACAGGAGACCCTTACTGCTGGAATGGTGGCACAGTACACTAATTAAAAAACAGAAGGATTGAGTAAGATCTAGGGTCTCTGGCATAATATCCAGGTTGTCCAAGTTTCAACAGAAAGATTACTTACCACAAGGTAGATTTCAAACAAAATGTTTAGACATATCTCACATTTTAAAGCCGCTGTCATAAAAATGCTTCAAAGATTATCATGAACTTATTAAAACAAGCAACAGAAAACTGCAAAAAAAAAAAAAAAGGGAAGAAATCTACAAAAGAAAAGTGCAATGAAGAACAAAGTGGAAATGTTTGCACTACAAATTATGTCCTCACATTTCAATGACGTGTGTTCTAAACAGACCAATTACAAGATAAACAAAGTCTGGGATCATAAAGTAACAAAAACCATAATCAAACTAGATACACTGTTTTTGAACAAAGAAACTTCAAAATAGAAGTATGCTTAAAGCAAAAGACTGGGGGTGGGGGAGGATGAATACAAGCAAAGCACAATATATATTATAAAATATGAGACTCATTATCTTATGATTAATTTAAACATTTGATTTTAAGAATGACAACAGGGGGCTGAAGAGATGGCTCAGCGGTTAAGAGCACTGACTGCTCTTCCAGAGGACCCGGGTTCAATTCCCAGCACCCACATGGCAGCTCATAACTGTCTGAAAAAAATAAAAGATAAAATCATAAAAAATTAAAAAAAAAATTGACCTGTTCAGGACTCAGTTTACAAGTAAAATTACACAATAAGAATGACAACAGATTTTAAAACAACCTATCATAGGAAACAGTCAAAAGAAGGCACTAGTGACTGTATTTGCATCAACTAATGGGACCTCAGGCAAAAAAAATGATCAGAACAGAGAGGATAATTGTATAATGGCAAAAGGTCAACCCATCAAGACATCCGATATACATCAAACAAAGCTGTAAAATACACGAAGACAAACGACAGGGCTTTGAACTGTGTGTTAGCCATACAGTACCTAAAGGCCCAGGCAATCGAGTAACCAATCACTGAGTCTGTCATCAGTTCCTATCTAATGTGATACCTACTCTACCCAGGTCTTAAAGCAGGTCTTGTTATTAACATGCATGATAGGTAGCTCTCAGGGGACCAGGAATATGATACAGTTGTCCTCACAACAGAAGCCAAAGAGATGCCAGATGTATA